GGCCCCGTCCCCGAACCCGTCCAGGACACTGCTGAGGTAGTCGCCGCCAAGCTCGCCCATTTCCAGGCCTACAACGAAGCCGCCGCCGCCGCCGCTGCCGCCCCAGACACCCGCTAAAGAGTGTTTTAGAAACTGCATCATATCTGTGCGTAGAGCTCTCGCCAGCAGATAACAGCATCAAGATTCTAGTCAGTTTCGATCGAGAGTTGACGGACGTGTATGAGATACCTCTGAATAAAAGTTTCTGTAAAAAAGATTTTGTCTCCATTACTTTCTACATTTCTACACCCAATAATTTTATACCCTGTTTTAATCATGTTCCAAAAGAGGACAATCTTATGCCTCTTTACACATCAATATATTAACACAATCTTTTCTATATCGTTCCTAAAAGAAACTATGAGACCATTGTACACGAATTTATTATTGCCTTATTTGGGATAATTAGATGTACAGACGGAGGACGAGATATATTCCCTCCTTAAAATACATTTCGCGCATTTTGATGATAATAATGAGTAAAAGTGATTGTAATACTGTAAGTCATGTTTATTTATATTAATTATATTGATGTTAACTATACGCTTCTGATGAGGATGATTACTATAACTCTGATAATGAAAATGGTAATAAAATTTCTACTGGTAATAGCAATGTTAATAAACATGATAATATTGATGATATAGATAAGTATAATAATCATAATTTTGTCGAAATGGCTATACACTCGCTTGGTTTCAAATGGCAAGCGTGTCTGATTTTCCCCACGCTCACTTCGGGGGAAGAGCAGCCGCGTACTCTGTCAAGTAAATGAGAATAATTTTTGTATAGCAAGATGGCCGTCCCTTCGATTTCTATTCCAAGATTATTTACTGAAGGAGAGAAGTTTGGCAATGCTGATTACGGGTATATAATCTGTAAACGACCTTCTCTTCATTTACTCTTTTCGGTTACAGTTCCAAGAAATCTTAATGAAAAAAGCATCATTACCCAAGTTCTGCAGTGTCAAACTCGAGTCTTTCCTGTGCCATGTCAGTTCAATTCAATCTACCTTTAACAGAAACAACGGAGGTGATTTATGATTTTTTAATTTCATTAGTCACAATGAATATTTTTGGAACAGGGTGTCTATTTATTATTACTTCTAAATTACCCCTTGTGTGCAAGGAATGGCCGGGGTTACCATCAACTGGCGGCGCGGGATTAGAACGCAGGTCAAGATTGCTGGACGAGAAAGATACCACTGCACTACACAGAGTAGTAGTACATGAAGGGAGATTTTTGTTACTCTAAAAGACATGATTTGGTCTATGTTTTAAGATTTGATTAATAATGCAATTTGAGTCGCCTCCAATCCACATTCATTGAAAATCGCTTTTAGAATGAGCTTATTTTCTCATATTATTTACACTCAGATGAAGGTATACTTAGACAAGCAAGTTCATCATACTTTTCTGTTCACCCTTCATTACCTGCATCTTATATGAGTAAAAAAGTATATGCACTTATCCAGGACATGTGCCTAACTCTATTGATATTAGTCATAGAATAGAAATAAATAAAGTAAGAAAGAAAAAGGAAACAGACTGCCTCGACAGTAAAATAATACCAGCATATAATGCAGCTAACCTGCAGTCTATTCAAACCTGGGAAACTTGTTATACCTTTTAATCCTTGCCATTGCCTTCTTTCTGGTTTAAATTCCTAATGTTTAGATAAATATTACGCGGCATTTGTTTACCAAAGTATCTATTCAAGTGGTTTTGTCCTTCAAATTATGATAAAGTCCTGAAACCTGTTTACATGATTATGAAACAAAATGTTCATCCTTGTATTTGTCAGAGGTATTTCTCAGATTCAAATTCTCAAGAAATATTTTGGGTCATACAATTGATCAGATAACGAATTATTCACCAACGTTTTTTTTTCCAATAGTATTTCTATTCAAATTATCAGTAAACATTTCCTAAATCTTGAATGACTTGATTTTTTGTTTATTTTTCGTTTTCCTGCAATCCTCGAGGGTCACTTTCCCTCCACCACCTGCGCTCCAAAAACATCCCTTTGAAACCTCTACTTAAGGGCACCTCAAGTTAAACAATGGAGAGATGGTCCTATAAGCGATGCATATAACAGTAAATCTCAAAGTTCTATCCCGGATTTAGAACATTTTATTTATCGCAACGAAAGGTCGAAAATAGAAAGGAAGGATAGCCACGCCCCTTCCGAAATGGTCATGTTCCCCGGGTATTTAAAGCCGCAGCCTTACCCATGGGCATCAGACAGCTCCTTGGTGGTGGGTCAACATGAATGCTCTGGTGGTTCAAGGTAGTCCAGGTAGAATATGGGGACTCATATTTTGTTTATATATTAAGGTTGAATGAAATCTTTGTTTCTGGATTTTCATTACACGATAACGTGCGTGCTGTAATGGAAATGTTCCATTTCAGACTGTGATTTCGGTGGCGGCTCTCGTGGCTAGCGGCAGCGCCTCCTTGCTTGCGTACAACGGCGTATATGGAGGCCATCACGGCCTTCTTGGCGCCTATCCTTACGCAGGGTATTCTGGTGTGGTGCCCTACGCATACGCAGGTGGCCTTCCCGCAGCTGCTCTCTCTCACCATCAAAAACACCTATAATCAAGACCTTGGCTCCTACACCTATCTCTTACAACGTGGCTCCTGCACCTGTCTCCTACAACGTAGCTCCTGTACCTGTTCCTACAACGTAGCTCCTTGGCACCTGTAGCACCTGTTCAGTCTCAGTATCACGCTCAGGATGAGATCGGTCAGTACTCCTTCGGTTACGCCGGCGGTGCATCTTCACGCGCTGAGTCTCGCGATGCCTTCGGTGTTGTCCGTGGTTCGTACAACTACGTGGACTCTGAGGGCAAGGTTCAGACTCAGCACTACGTGGCTGACGCCCTTGGCTTTCGTGCGTCCGGCACCAACCTTCCCGTGGCTCCCGACGCCCCTCTGGCCGCCCTCCCGGCCCCGTCCCCGAACCCGTCCAGGACACTGCTGAGGTAGTCGCCGCCAAGCTCGCCCATTTCCAGGCCTACAACGAAGCCGCCGCCGCCGCCGCTGCCGCCCCAGACACCCGCAAGAAGCGTTCCGTCCTTGCGGCTCCCGGTCTCGGCGTCTACTCTCCTCTCCGTTTCTCCTACGGATCCACTCCCTCCACTACGCCCACCCAACTACCTATGCTTCTCCTCTTCACTACACTGCCGCCCATCCCGCCCTCACCACCTACAACGCCGTCCACGTCCCCACCACCTACGCCGCCGCCGCCAGACCCGCCCTCCGTGACGCCGAACTCCTCCGCGTGGTCCACAACCCCGCCCACGCCACCTCCTACCGCGTGCTCAACTGAGTTGGAATCCAGTCACGTGAGGTGTGACGAACGCATTTGATGAGGTTTGACATCTCATTATTTGTACAAAAGAGCGAATTATGTTGATCTATTAAATAAAATGATTTCACTGTCAGCATACTGTCATGAACCTAAACCGCAGTCAGCTAGTAACGTGTACGGCAGAGCAATAATAATAATAATGATTAATGACAAAACATTTAGTTGCCCTATATATATGCGTTACACACACACACACACACACACACATATATACATATATATATATATATATATATATATATATATATATATACATATTGCATACAAATGCATGTAAATGCATAAATCCACGAACCAAACCACAAACAAACGAAAAACCAGTTTGTACATATACCCGAATATATATATATATATATATATATATATATATATATATATATATATATATATATATATATACATATGTATGTATATGTATGTACACATATACACATATTTATCTATATATGAATATACTTGTATGTGTCAATCATATGCAACAGAACAGAAAATTATAAAATAGAATTACAAAAATAATGAAAACTTTTATGGAGTCACATACTTAAGTAGAACAGTTATCAATAACTTTGACCTCCATTCCCCTTTCTATCCATACCTTTCTTTCTCTTTTCCCATCCAGTCTTATGCGGCCATTAACACTCCTGACATCTGCCGGGAGAAATTCAACACAGGAAAACAAAGCATATCTATATGTATTCTTACATACTCGATATCATATTACTTGACAGTATGTCCAGATAACACATGAATAGTGAATAAGGAATAGGTTATCAATAAAGCACATTTTGATACTTTCATTATATAATATTTTCACAGTGGTTTAGTCTATGTTTATGATAAGACTAGGTAATAAGTGCAAAATAAGTCCAGTTATGTTGTTTAAACAGGCACTCAGGCAGTCACAGAGGACTCGCCTCCCCCATTCTACAGTGGATTCCTCTTGCACACCAATAGCCTTTTTTATTTACCTACTCCATTATTATTCGAAATATATCCATGGATATATTTTGAAATAATTCTTTAAATTTATCTTTCCAGTTTTTCTTTGTCACAAAAGAAACCTTAGTAAGATTGAGAGACAACGTTTCCTTGCAAAATTATGATATTGACACCTGTTGGGGACAAAGCCTTACCTGAGCGACAAAATCGATACAGTAGCGTGTCGAACTCTCGCAAGACTAGTCAGTTTCGCTCGAGAGTTAGCGCATTTCTCTTGCCTATAAACAAGCTATGATGACATTAATGGTAAAGAAAATGGATGTGGGTCTAAATATGTTTATTATGATAGTGATAACAGTATCAATAATAATGATAAAAAGGACAGTGATGATATTGATAGTAACGGTAGTGGTAATGATTACGAATCATGAAAATAATTGATAATGATAATGCTGCCAATTGATAATTATGATAATAATAATGATAATGAGTGATAATAATGATAATGATAATGATGATAATGATAATCATAATGAAAATAATGAGAATGATAACAATACTGATAATCATGGTGATAATCATTATCATAATAAACAACACTGATAATGATTGCATTAATAATAGTGATAATCTTAGCAACGACAATAAAATGACACTGATGATGATGAAAATGATAGTAATGATAATATAAATAAGAATCACACTGACAATAATTATAAGAATGAAAACACCAATAATAACAACGATAATGTTAATGGTAATGATATTGATAATGATAATAATTTCGATAATAATGAGAACGTAAAAATAACAAAAACGATAATAATGATTGTAGTTATAATAAAGACTTTGATTGTTATATCATCCTCATTGCTATTGATATTACCATTATCATTATCATGATTATTCTTATTATTGCTAACATTACCATTATCATCATAACCATCATCATTGTTATTGTTACCATTACTATTATCATGATATTGACAGTAATAATGATTATTATCAATATGCAAATAACAGTACAAGAATACTACTACTGATAATAACGATGATAATAATGCTAATGATAACATCAACGGCGGTATTAATAATGATGATCACATGAAAAAGAATGTGATTAACAATCATGATAATGATGATAATAATAGAATGATCGTAAAAATTTGATAACTTCAGTATCAATAACAATAGTAATAGTAATAACGATAGTAGTAATGGCAATAACAATACTAATAATGTTACTACAGCTATAAATGAAAACAATGATTATGTTAATGATAATGATATAGATAATAGAAAATAAAAAATGACAATAGGAAAAAAAATATATAACGAGGGGAGGATTCAAAGGATAAAAATAAAATCAATAAAGAATAACGACACCACTAATAATGATGATGACGATTATCATGATATTAACAATAGTGATAAAAATAGTAATGATGATAATGATAACAATAATAAAGATATTCTGAATAATGATGACAAATAATTGCAAGTCAATTTTCTGAATTTAGGATATAATACTGTAGCTAAAATCAGATATTCCCTGAATCGCTTTCATTTTTGTTAACCTTTCCATTGCTTGTGCATTTTCTTTGGCACCAGTCAGAAGTGGAGATATGACTTTTTCAGGATTTGGATCAAAGAAGACTATAAGAGTGTGGCAATATATGATATAAAATAACTTCTCATATTACTTTATTTGTCTATTTTTGTAAGGGGATGTGAAAACAGCCTCACCCAGGAGCCAAGGCGCTGTACGATACAAAAGATTAGACTGTAGAAAGGAAGGAAAGCCACGCCCCCTTGCCCATCTTCTGAGGTGGTCAAGATGTTCCCAAGGTATTTAAGACGGCGTCATACCCATGGCCACCAGACAGCTCCTTGACGGTGGCCAACATGAACTCTCTGGTGAGTTTAGGAACCCCAGTTTTCGCTGAGGTTGAACGGAGTCTCTTCTCGTTTTGGTGATTTCAGTCAGGTTTAAAGATGAAATTTTCTCGGTTTCTAATTCAGTGTATTTTCATGTAATGAAAATGATGCATTTCAGACTGTGATTTCGGTGGCGGCTCTCGTGGCTAGCGGCAGCGCCTCCTTGCTTGCGTACAACGGCGTATATGGAGGCCATCACGGCCTTCTTGGCGCCTATCCTTACGCAGGGTATTCTGGTGTGGTGCCCTACGCATACGCAGGTGGCCTTCCCGCAGCTGCTCCTCTCTCCCTCAAAACACCTGTAATCAAGACCTTGGCTCCTACACCTATCTCTTACAACGTAGCTCCTGCACCTGTCTCCTACAACGTAGCTCCTTCACCTGTGTCCTATAACTTGGCTCCTGCACCTGCTTCCTACAACGTAGCTCCTGTCGCACCTGTAGCACCTGTCCAGTCTCAGTATCACGCTCAGGATGAGATCGGTCAGTACTCCTTCGGTTACGCCGGCGGTGCATCTTCACGCGCTGAGTCTCGCGATGCCTTCGGTGTTGTCCGTGGTTCGTACAACTACGTGGACTCTGAGGGCAAGGTTCAGACTCAGCACTACGTGGCTGACGCCCTTGGCTTCCGTGCGTCCGGCACCAACCTTCCCATGGTTCCCGACGCCCCTCTGGCCGCCCTCCCGGCCCCGTCCCCGAACCCGTCCAGGACACTGCTGAGGTAGTCGCCGCCAAGCTCGCCCATTTCCAGGCCTACAACGAAGCCGCCGCCGCCGCCGCTGCCGCCCCAGACACCGCTAAAGAGTGTTTTAGAAACTGCATCATATCTGTGCGTAGAGCTCTCGCCAGCAGATAACAGCATCAAGACTCTAGTCAGTTACGATCGAGAGTTGACGGACGTGTATGAGATACCTCTGAATAAAAGTTTCTGTAAGAAAGATTTTGCCTCAATTACTTTCTATTACATTTCTATACCCAATAATTTCATACCCTTTTTTATGCCCATTATTTTATCATTATTATTTTTTATCAACCTATTTTAATGCAAGTAAAATCGGGTGTTGTTTGCTCTTCATTTTACACATCAATATATTAACACAATCTTTTCTATACCGTTCCTTAAACTATGAAGTCATTGTACACGAATTTATTATTGCTTTATTTGGGATTTTTAGAACACGGAGGACGAGATATGGTCCCTGTATGAAATATATTTCACTCATTTTGATTATGGTAATGAGTAATGGTGATTGTAATACTGTAAGTCATGTTTAATAATCATATTGATATCAATAATACGCTACTGATGGGATGATTACTATACCTCTAATAATGAAAATGGTAATAGAAATGGTAATGGCAATAGCAATGTTAATAAACATGATAATTGATGATATAGATAAGTATAACAATCATAATTTCGTTGAAATAGCTATACACTCGCTTGGTTTCAAATGGCAAGCGTGTCTGATTTTCCCCACGCTCACTTCGGGAAGAGCAGCCGCGTACTCTGTCAAGTAAATGAGAATAATTTTTGTATAGCAAGATGGCCGTCACTTCGATTTCTATCCCAAATTTATTTAGTGAAGGAGAGAAGTTTGGCAATGCTGATTACGGGTATATAATCTGTAAACGACCTTCTCTTCATTTACTCTTTTCGGTTACAGTTCCAAGAAATCTTAATGAAAAAAGCATCATTACCCAAGTTCAGCAGTGTCAAACTCGAGTCTTTCCTGTGCCATGTCAGTTCAATTCAATCTACCTTTAACAGAAACAACGGAGGTGATTTATGATTTTTAATTTCATTAGTCACAATGAATATTTTTGGAACAGGGTGTCTATTTATTATTACTTCTAAATTACCCCTTGTGTGCAAGGAATGGCCGGGTTACCATCAACTGGCGGCGCGGGATTAGAACGCAGGTCAAGATTGCTGGACGAGAAAGATACCACTGCACTACACAGAGTAGTAGTACATGAAGGGAGATTTTTGTTACTTAAAAGACATGATTTGGTCTATGTTTTAAGATTTGATTAATAATGCAATTTGAGTCGCCTCCAATCCACATTCATTGAAAATCGCTTTTAGAATGAGCTTATTTTCTCATATTATTTACACTCAGATGAAGGTATACTTAGACAAGCAAGTTCATCATACTTTTCTGTTCACCCTTCATTACCTGCATCTTATATGAGTAAAAAAGTATATGCACTTATCCAGGACATGTGCCATACTCTATTGATATTAGTCATAGAATAGAAATAAATAAAATAAGAAAGAAAAAGGAAACAGACTGCCTCGACAGTAAAATAATACCAGCATATAATGCAGCTAACCTGCAGTCTATTCAAACTGGGAAACTTGTTTATACCTTTAATCCTTGCCATTGCCTTCTTTCAGGTTTAAATTCCTATGTTTAGATAAATATTACGCGGCATTTGTTTACCAAAGTATCTATTCAAGTGGTTTTGTCCTTCAAATTATGATAAAGTCCTGAAACCTGTTTACATGATTATGAAACAAAATGTTCATCCTTGTATTTGTCAGAGGTATTTCTCAGATTCAAATTCTCAAGAAATATTTTGGGTCATACAATTGATCAGATAACGAATTATTCACCAACGTTTTTTTTTCAATAGTATTTCTATTCAAATTATCAGTAAACATTTCCTAAATCTTGAATGACTTGATTTTTGTTTATTTTCGTTTTCCTGCAATCCTCGAGGGTCACTTTCCCTCCACCATCTGCGGCTCCCAAAACATCCATTTGATACCTCTACTTAAGGGCACCTAAGTTAAACAATGAGATGGTCCTATAAGCGATGCATATAAAAGTAAATCTCAAAGTTCTATCCCGGATTTAGAACATTTTATTTATCGCAACGAAAGGTCGAAAATAGAAAGGAAGGATAGCCACGCCCCTTCCGAAATGGTCATGTTCCCCGGGTATTTAAGCCGCAGCCTTACCCATGGGCATCAGACAGCTCCTTGGTGGTGGGTCAACATGAATGCTCTGGTGAGTTCAAGGTAGTCCAGGTAGAATATGGGGACTCGACTCATATTTATATTGTATATATTAGGTAACTGAATGAAATCTTTGTTTCTGGATTTTCATTACACGATAACGTGCTGTAATGGAAATGTTCCATTTCAGACTGTGATTTCGGTGGCGGCCTCGTGGCTAGCGGCAGCGCCTCCTTGCTTGCGTACGGCGTATATGGAGGCCATCACGGCCTTCTTGGCGCCTATCCTTACGCAGGGTATTCTGGTGTGGTGCCCTACGCATACGCAGGTGGCCTTCCCGCAGCTGCTCCCCTCACCATCAAAACACCTATAATCAAGACCTTGGCTCCTACACCTATCCTTACAACGTGGCTCCTGCACCTGTCTCCTACAACGTAGCTCCTGCACCTGTTTCCTACAACGTAGCTCCTGTGGCACCTGTAGCACCTGTTCAGTCTCAGTATCACGCTCAGGATGAGATCGGTCAGTACTCCTTCGGTTACGCCGGCGGTGCATCTTCACGCGCTGAGTCTCGCGATGCCTTCGGTGTTGTCCGTGGTTCGTACAACTACGTGGACTCTGAGGGCAAGTTCAGACTCAGCACTACGTGGCTGACGCCCTTGGCTTTCGTGCGTCCGGCACCAACCTTCCCGTGGCTCCCGACGCCCCTCTGGCCGCCCTCCCCGGCCCCGTCCCCGTACCCGTCCAGGACACTGCTGAGGTAGTCGCCGCCAAGCTCGCCCATTTCCAGGCCTACAACGAAGCCGCCGCCGCCGCCGCTGCCGCCCCAGACACCCGCAAGAAGCGTTCCATCCTTGCGGCTCCCGGTCTCGGCGTCTACTCTCCTCTCCGTTTCTCCTACGGATTCTCCACTCCCCTCCACTACGCCCACCCAACTACCTATGCTTCTCCTCTTCACTACACTGCCGCCCATCCCGCCCTCACCACCTACAACGCCGTCCACGTCCCCACCACCTACGCCGCCGCCGCCAGACCCGCCCTCCGTGACGCCGAACTCCTCCGCGTGGTCCACAACCCCGCCCACGCCACCTCCTACCGCGTGCTCAACTGAGTTGGAATCCAGTCACGTGAGGTGTGACGAACGCATTTGATGAGGTTTGACACCTCACTATTTGTACAAAGAGCGAATTATGTATGATCTATTAAATAAAATGATTTCACTGTCAGCATACTGTCATGAACCTAACCTCAGTCAGCTAGTAACGTGTACAGCAATAATAATAATAATAATAATGAAAACATATTTAGTTGCCCTATCTATCTGCGTTCACACACGCACACACAGACACACACACCACACACACACACACATACACCACACACACACACACACACACACACACACACACACACACACATATATATATATATATATATATATATATATATATATACATATTGCATACAAATGCATGTAAATGTATAAATCCACGAACCAACATACACACACACACATAAAAAAAAGAGTTTGTACATATACACGAATATATATATATATATATATATATATATATATATATATATATACATACATATTATAATATACATATATATGTATATGTATGTATATATATATATATACATATTTATCTATATATGAATATATATGTTTGTGTGTGTGTGTGTGCACCATATGTAATAGAACAGAAAAATATAAAATCACAGAATTACAAAAACAATGAAAACTTTTATGGAGTCACATACCTAAGTAGAACAGTTATCAATAACTATGATCTCCAGTTCCCCTTTCTATCCATACCTTTCTTTCTCTTTCCCAGTCAGTGTTAAGCAGCACATTAACACTCCTGACATCTGCCGGGGGAAATTCAACACAGGAAGACAAAGCATATTTATATGCACTCTTACATACTCGATATCATATTTCTTGACAGTATGTCCAGATAACACATGAATAGTGAATAAGGAATAGGTTATCAATAAAGCACATTTTGATACTTTCATTATATATTATTTTCACAGTGGTTTAGTCTATGTTTATGATAAGACTAGGTAATAAATACAAAATAAGTCCAGTTATGTTGTTTAAACAGGCATTCAGGCAGTCACAGAGGACTCGCCTCCCCCATTCTACAGTGGATTCCTCTTGCACACCAATAGCCATTATAGCCCTTTTTTATTTACCTACTCCATTATTATTCGAAATATATCCATGGATACATTTTGAAATAATTCTTTAAATTTATCTTTCCAGTTTTATCTTTGTCACAAAAGAAACCTTAGTAAGATTGAGAGACAACGTTTCCTTGCAAAATTATGATATTGACACCTGTTGGGGACAAAGCCTTACCTGAGCGACAAAATCGATACAGTAGCGTGTCGAACTCTCGCAAGACTAGTCAGTTTCGCTCGAGAGTTAGCGCATTTCTCTTGCCTATAAACAAGCTATGATGACATTAATGGTAAAGAAAATGGATGTGGGTCTAAATATGTTTATTATGATAGTGATAACGGTATCAATAATAATGATAAAAAGGACAGTGATGATATTGATAGTAACGGTAGTGATAATGATTACGAATTATGAAAATAATTGATAATGATAATGCTGCCAATTAATAATAATAATAATAATGATAATGAGAGTGATAATAATGATAATGATAATAATGATAATGATAATCATAATGAAAATAATAAGAATAATAACAATACTGATAATCATGGTGATAATCATTATCATAATAAACAACACTGATAATGATTGCATTAATAATAGTGATAATCTTAGCAATGACAATAAAATGACACTGATGATGATAATGACAGGAATGATAGTATAAATAATAATCACACTGGCAATATTTATAAAAATGAAAACACCAATAATAACAACGATAATGTTAATGCTAATGATTGGGATATTGATAATGAAGATAATTATTTCGATAAAAATGAACAAAAACGGTAATAATGATTTTGACTGTTATATTACCATTGTCATTATCATCGTTGTTATTAATATTACCATTTTCATTATTATCATTATCTTCATCATTATTGTTGTTATTACAAACATTACCGTTATCATCATAAGCATCACCATTATTATTGTTACCATTACTATTATCATGATATTGACTTTAATAATGATTATTATCAATATGCAAATAACAGTACAAGAATACTACTACTGATAAGGACGATGATAATAATGCTAATGATAACATCAACGGCGGTATTAATAATGATGAACACATGAAAAAGAACATGATTAACAATCATGATAATGGTAAGGATAATAAAATGATCGTAAAAATGTTGATAACTTCAGTATCAATAACAGTAATAATAGTAATAACGATAGTAGTAATGACAACGATAATACAAATAATGCTACTACTACTATAAATGAAAACAATGATCATATTAATGATAATATTATAGATAATAATAGAAAATAAAAATAATGATAATAGTAAGAGAAATAAGATATAATATAATTCTAAGGATAAAAATAAGATCAATAAAGAATAATGACACCACTAATAATGGTATAATATTGACAACAATAAACAATGGCAACAGTGATATTATTTTTAATAGTAATAGGGATAATGATGATAACAGTAATGATAATGATGGTAATGATAATAACATTGATGGCAATGATAGTTATAATAAGTGATAATGATAATTGCCCCAATAAAAAGAATGTTAATAATGATAATGATAATGATGATAATAATAATCACAAGGTAACATTGATAACATGATTATTCATACAATTGTAGTAATGATAATATCAATAATAATATTGCTACTCTTGATAATGATGAAAATAATTATCATCCACAGTAGCTCCAGCAACACCAATATTAATAACGGTAAAAGTGATGATTTTAACAGTAACTTCAATTGTACAATTATAATTATAAAATGATAGTGGTGATGATTATAATGTATTAACAGTAGTAGTAATAATGAAATAAGTTATGCTGATAATTATGATTATAACAATAGTAATGGTAGAAATTGTAGTGCTACTATCACTCAATAATGATTCTACTATTACCACTAGTAACATGAATAATGATAATCATAGCGATGATGACGATTATCATAACATTAACAAAAGTGATAAAAATAGTAATGATTATGATAACAATAAAGATATTCTGATAATGATGACAAATAAGTTAATTTTCAGAATTTAGGATATAATACTATAGCTATAATCAGATATTCCCTGAATCGCTTTCATTTTTGTTCACCTTTCCATTGCTTGTACATTTTCTTTGGCACCAGTCAGAAGTGGAGATATGACTTTTTCAGGATTTGAATCTGAGAAGACTATAGGAGTGTGGCAATATATGATATAGAATAACTTCTCATATTACTTTATTTGTCTATTTTTGTAAGGGGATGTGAAAACAGCCTCACCCAGGAGCCAAGGCGCTGTACGATACAAAAGATTAGACTGTAGAAAGGAAGGAAAGCCACGCCCCCTTGCCCATTTTCTGAGGTGGTCAAGATGTTCCCAAGGTATTTAAGGCGGCGTCATACCCATGGCCACCAGACAGCTCCTTGACGGTGGCCAACATGAACTCTCTGGTTAGTTTAGGAACCCCAGGTTTCGCTGAGGTTGAACGGAGTCTCTTCTCGTTTTGGTGATTTCAGTCAGGTTTAAAGATGAAATTTTCTCGGTTTTCTAATTCAGTGTATTTCATGTAATGGAAAATGATGCATTTCAGACTGTGATTTCGGTGGCGGCTCTCGTGGCTAGCGGCAGCGCCTCCTTGCTTGCGTACAACGGCGTATATGGAGGCCATCACGGCCTTCTTGGCGCCTATCCTTACGCAGGGTATTCTGGTGTGGTGCCCTACGCATACGCAGGTGGCCTTCCCGCAGCTGCTCCTCTCTCCCTCAAAACACCTGTAATCAAGACCTTGGCTCCTACACCTATCTCTTACAACGTAGCTCCTGCACCTGTATCCTACAACGTGGCACCTGCACCTGTTTCCTACAACGTAGTTCCCTTCGCACCTGTAGCACCTGTCCAGTCTCAGTATCACGCTCAGGATGAGATCGGTCAGTACTCCTTCGGTTACGCCGGCGGTCCTTCTTCACGCGCTGAGTCTCGCGATGCCTTCGGTGTTGTCCGTGGATCGTACAACTACGTGGACTCTGAGGGCAAGGTTCAGACTCAGCACTACGTGGCTGACGCCCTTGGCTTCCGTGCGTCCGGCACCAACCTTCCTGTGGCTCCTGACGCCCCTCTGGCCGCCCTCCCGGCCCCGTCCCCGAACCCGTCCAGGACACTGCTGAGGTAGTCGCCGCCAAGCTCGCCCATTTCCAGGCCTACAACGAAGCCGCCGCCGCCGCCGCTGCCGCCCCAGACACCCGCTAAAGAGTGTTTTAGAAACTGCATCATATCTGTGCGTAGAGCTCTCGCCAGCAGATAACATCAAGACTCTAGTCAGTTTCGATCGAGAGTTGACGAACGTGTATGAGATACCTCTGAATAAAAGTTTCTGTAAGATTTTACTTTCTTCTACATTTCTATACCCAATAATTTCATACCCTTTTTTAATCATGTTCCTAAAGAGGACAATGTTATGCCATTATTATTTTTTTATCAACCTATTTTAATGCAAGTAAAATCGGGTGTAGTTTGCTCTCCATTTTACACATCAATATATTAACACAATCTTTTCTATGCCGTTCCTTAAACTATGAAATCATTGTACACGAAATTATTATTGCTTTATTTGGGATTTTTAGAACACCGAGGACGAGATATAGTCCCTGTATGAAATATATTTCACTCATTTTGATTATGGTAATGAGTAATGGTGATTGTAATACTGTAAGTCATGTTTAATAATCATATTGATATCAACAATACGCGACCGATGGGGATGATTACTATACCTCTAATAATGAAAATGGTAATAGAAATGGTAATGGCAATAGCAATGCTAATAAACATGATAATTGATGATATAGATAAATATAATAATAATTTCGTTGAAATAGCTATACACTCGCTTTGTTTCAAATGGCAAGCGTGTCTGATTTTCCCCACGCTCACTTCGTGGGAAGAGCAGCCGCGTACTCTGTCAAGTAAATGAGAATAATTTTTGTATATCAAGATGGCCGTCCCTTCGATTACTATTCCAAGATTTTTTACTGAGGGAGAGAAGTTTGGCAATGCTGATTACGGGTATATAATCTGTAAACGACCTTCTTTCATTTACAGTTCCAAGAAATCTTAATGAAACAAAGCATCATTACCCAAGTTCAGCAGTGTCAAACTCGAGTCTTTCCTGTGTCATGTTAGTTCAATTCAATCTACGTGTAACAGAAACAACGGAGGTGATTTATGATTTAGTTTAATTTCATTAGTCACAATGAATATTTTTTGGATCAGGGTGTCTATTTATTATTACTTCTAAATTACCCCTTGTGTGCAAGGAATGGCCGGGGTTACCATCAACTGGCGGAGCGGGATTAGAACGCAGGTCAAGATTGCTGGACGAGAAAAATACCACTGCACTACACAGAGTAGTAGTACATGAAGGGAGATTTTTGTTACTTTAAAAGACATGATTTGGTCTATGTTTTAAGATTCGATTAATAATACAATTTGAGTCGCATCCAATCCACATTAATTGAAAATCGCTTCTAGAATGAGAAGCTTATTTTCTCATATTATTTACACTTAGATGAAGGTATACTTAGACAAACAAGTTCGTTATAGTTTTCTATTCATCCTTCATTGCCTGCATCTTATATGAGTAAATGAATATGCACTTACATAGTAGAAGTACCGATCTCCATTGACATTAGTCATAAAATAGAAAGACAAAAACAAACAGATTGTCCATGTAGTAGGATACTCAGCATATAATGCAGCTAACCTTCAGCCCATTCAAACATATGAAATTTATTATACCTTCTAATCCTTGCCATTGCCTTCTTTCTGGTTTGAATTCCTAATATTTAGATAAATATTACGCGGCATTTGTTTACCAAAGTATCTATTCAAGTGGTTTTGCCATTCAGATTATAAAAATGCCGTAAAACCTGTTTACATGATTATGAAACAAAATGCTCATCCTTGTATTTGTCAGAGATATTTCTCAAATACAAATTCTCAAGAAATATTTTGGGTCATGCAGTTGATCAGATAACCAATTATTCACCATTTTTTTTCAATAGTATTTCTATTCAAATTATCAGTAAACATTTCCTAAATCTTGAATGACTTGATTTTGTGTTTATTTCTCGTTTTCCTGCAATCCTCGAGGGTCACTTTCCCTCCACCATCTGCGCCCCAAAACATCCCTTTGAAACCTCTACTTAAGGGCACCTCAAGTTAAACAATAGATGGTCCTATAAGCGATGCATATAACAGTAAATCTCAAAGTTCTATCCCGGATTTAGAACATTTTATTTATCGCAACGAAAGGTCGAAAATAGAAAGGAAGGATAGCCACGCCCCTTCCGAAATGGTCATGTTCCCCGGGTATTTAAACCGCAGCCATACCCATGGGCATCAGACAGCTCCTTGGTGGTGGGTCAACATGAATGCTCTGGTGGGTTCAAGGTAGTCCAGGTAGAATATGGGGACTCATATTTTGTTTGTATATTAAGGTTGTTGAATGAAATCTTTGTTTCTGGATTTTCATTACACGATAACGTGCTGTAATGGAAATGTTCCATTTCAGACTGTGATTTCGGTGGGGCTCTCGTGGCTAGCGGCAGCGCCTCCTTGCTTGCGTACAACGGCGTATATGGAGGCCATCACGGCCTTCTTGGCGCCTATCCTTACGCAGGGTATTCTGGTGTGGTGCCCTACGCATACGCAGGTGGCCTTCCCGCAGCTGCTTCTCTCACCATCAAAACACCTGTAATCAAGACCTTGGCTCCTACACCTATCTCTTACAACGTGGCTCCTGCACCTGTCTCCTACAACGTAGCTCCTGTAGCTGTATCCTACAACGCTCCTTCACCTGTTTCCTACAACGTAGCTCCTGTGGCACCTGTTCAGTCTCAGTATCACGCTCAGGATGAGATCGGTCAGTACTCCTTCGGTTACGCCGGCGGTGCATCTTCACGCGCTGAGTCTCGCGATGCCTTCGGTGTTGTCCGTGGTTCGTACAACTATGTGGACTCTGAGGGCAAGGTTCAGACTCAGCACTACGTGGCTGACGCCCTTGGC